ATATATATGTATATATATGCATATATAACCTATAGATACACATATATATGTTGAATTAATTAGGTTATGGTTGCCACCGTTCGGTGTAAAGAGATTGCCGCTGAGAAATTCAACCAACTGATGCAAAACAAGGTCTGTGTAACCCGTACTTTATCTCCATTCTTATCATCATATGTGCTTCTGTACTTCTAGCCCGATGAAAAAGGTCTTTTTTTTGGTCATAAGTTAACTTGAATGAACTTGATTTAGGATTGGTTGGCATGGGTAGAAGCTGCTAAAACTAGTCCGGTACCAGGCTTTGGTGAAAAGCTTACCTCAATTCTAAACACCTATCTTTCTGAGTAAGTTCTGGTACTTGTTAGTGCTGAGGGAATATTTTTCGTGTGTGTATGTATTATGTATATGTACGTCAATTTGTGTTTAGTCTTGCTAGTTCTGACATTTTTGTGCTTATGGGTCATAGATATGACAAGGAGGCCATGTACTTTGACGAAGGTGTAAGGAACGAAAGAAAGGAGGAACTGCAGTTGAAAGCACTGGATGTATGGCTACTCACAAAACCATTTACCCTTGTTTCTTTTTATTATTAAAAAAAAAATTGTTATTAATGAAAATTTTTACTCTCCTTTGAACTAATTACAATCTGTCCATGTTACCTACACTACCATGCTTGGACACCTAAGTTCTAAAGTACTTGAAGAGTTCAAAGTGAGACTGGAGAAGTCCTTAAAAGAAGGATCATTTGATTCATCTGTTAGCGCATCATGTATTGTGTCCTCCATGCGTGAGTTTGACCAAGGGTGTAAAGGTAATGGCAGTATATATGTATCGGACACTTCAAATTTGTATCCCTGCTAACAACTCATATACTTGCAGATGCCACTATGCAGAATGCAAATTGGGATTCTTCAAGCATTCGAAAAATACTTGTTTGTGATATAGATGCACATGCATTACGTGTTCATGATGTAAAGTTATCGGAGTTGAAAGATAAGTGTGAGGTAATGTATTAAAGTTTTGATGGTCATTTATTTTTATTAAGTTTAGCTTCATTATATTTATTATTAATTAAATTGTTTAATGCACTTATTATCACTTTTTTTTTCTTCTTTTGCGTTCAGAAACAACTTTCTACATCTTTAACAAAACAGGTTGAGGCTCATCTTGAAGATGGTATAGAAGACGTCTGGGCTTCAATAAGATCCGTTCTTCATCATCACACTGAAGAGGCGGTATCAATGTTGTCAACTGAAATAGTTGCTTTTAATGTGGACAACAAATCAATTGCCAAAATGGAACAAGACTTAAGGGCCTGTGCAAGAAATGTGGTGGAGAAAATAGTAAGAGACAAGACAGGATCAAATTTTGATGCTCATGAAACACCAGTAGGGAACTTGTCAATAAGTTCTTTCTTTTTTTGCCTTATCGTTTCGGTTGCTTATGATTGTTTTTTCTGTTAACATTTTTCCAGGTTTGAAATAGTCTTCTTCTATGATCGTGATAACAATCCTAGGGCTTGGACAAAAAAAAAAGTAGTTAGAGCTGCTACCAAGGATGCCTACTCTGCTGTAATCAATCGAAACTATTGTCAATGGAAGTATAACATTTATCTATATTTTGGTGTTAAATGATACTTTAATTTAGCGACTTATTGATTTTGCTATATATCTTTGATGCAGTCTCTCAAGGTTTTATCGGTTATGGCTGCCATTTGCTTAGATGATGGGACGCCCAATAATATTGAAAAAAGTCTCTTTTCTTCTCTAATGGATGAAACTAAAGCCGCTAAAGATCCTCTTGGCTCAAGCACTTGGGAAGGGGTACTAATTATTTGATCTCTCCTAGCTCTCTATATATATCATTTTCTGTTGTCAAACTGGTTTTGCTAAAATTATTAAGAATTAACTCTGAATTACTAGGTCTCTCCAAAGGATACCGTTATTACACCAGTGCGGTGCAAGTCGTTGTGGGAAAATTTCAAACTAGAGACTCGTAATCATGTTACTCAAGCTACATCAGCGCGGGTATATATCTTATCTATATATATGACCTCTCTTCTTATAGCTTTGTGTGCCCTGATCAGCCGGGCTGCATTTGTTTCTTCTATATTTTTCTCCCTATAATGAAGCCCTCAGCGCTGCTAAGTTTACGCATAATGCTGTTATGCTGTTTGCTTTTGTATTTTCAGGACACTGCAAAGAAGCATTGGTTGGCGAAGTTTGCAATTGCTTTGACAGCTGGGGTTGCTTCGGCAATTGTTGGAGCCCCAATAGCAGAAGCACTATAGGAGGAGGGTAACAATGGGGTGGATGGACTGGAATGGATTGGATGGGCTAGATGATGCCCTTCGTGCAATATTAATTGCGGCTTTGAATAATGTTCTTCTGGTTTTTTTTAGTAAATTTACTCTTTATTTTTGTTTGAATAAAATTCTGTTTTTTTCTAAATAAAACCCGATGATTATGAGAAATTATAGAATAGTACAGTATCACCACGTCAGCTAGTAATACTTCCACTCAGAATTTGCATGTATCTTTTTAAAAAATAAAATTTAACTGTTTGTACAACTGGACTTTGGCTTCCAATTTTATCCTTTAGAATAAAATTAATTAAAAAAACCAACGGAAAAAACAAAAAAGCAAGACTCTCTGATAACCTCTCAACCCGATCGTAGTCCCATCTGCCCCCCTTCTATGTTTCTATTCCTCCCTCCAACTTCAATTTCCTCATCTAGGTTGTCCTCATCTCGCTCAAAACCTCCAATTCCAAGTTCACTTTGTCCAATTTTGCTCTCAATCCCACAAGTTTAACAAGAGAAGATCCCAGAAACTCCATACGCAAGTGCTGAAACTAGTTCAAATATATGTACGGGAATAATCACTAATGTAACTATATGCAGGAAAACAAACTTAACTAAAAATCGCCAAGCAGCTGAGTAGGTGTATCACATGCTGACGTGGTGATACTGTACCACCTATAATTTATCGATGACTAGGATCCAACTTTGTAAGTTAACTAATCAAGCGCAAAATATAATTTATTGTACTTTTTTTATTCCTAAAATATCTCAACTAAGCCATTATTGCATTTTGTATATTAATGTAGGAACCAATATAGAAACAATTTTGAATTGGATTGTAACTAATGAAGCACATTGAATTTGGAAAGATCTCCAAATGGATGTAGGAATTAATTTGGAAACTTTGTTTAAATTTAACAATAAATTCATATTTAACATACCTAATCGGTCTATTTAATATTAAAAAAATTGTATTTATTTATTTATGAAGTATACGTGATTAATTATCTTTTTTTATTTATGCAAAAGCGATAATAATATATTAATGAGGAGAAGGAGTGACAAGTACAAAAACTAAACTATGTCCTAGAGGATTATGCTAGTACTCTACACGAAACGAAGCACAGTGGTCGTGAGGTCCTCGCCTCACTCGAGGGTCCCCCTAAGATCATGTCCGTAAAAACTATAAGTTACAATCCTCAAATAGGAGATCCACAATAAAATTCAGTGGTTCCTCAAACCAACTAACAAAGTTACCAATGTGAGTTGCAAACTTTGAAATATGATGAGCCACACCGTTCACGTTTCGACATATATGAGTAAAACCTTCTCTAGTGATCTGAGTCAATAGGGTCTTGGTATCCAGAACAATCGGTCCTAGAAAAGATCGATCCATGGCTTAACTTCGAAGTGCTGACATAATTTTAAGAGCATCACTCTCAAAAGAAACATTCATAAAACTCATATCAGCTGCCAATGAAACACCTATATGGGCAGCAAGGAGCTTCAACATGAGCTACAAAAAAAACATTGTGAACCGACATAGCACAACCTGCCACAAATTCGCCACCAGAATCACATACCACAATAGTAATGCCACCGATCGAGCTCCTAGGATACCAGGGACCATCATTGTGAACTTTAAGACAACTTATAGGAGGGTTCTCCTAACGTATCACCTGATGAGTCTGTGTAGCCTACTTGGAAGCACGAGCAGAGCCTTTCAAGAATTCCTAGAGGTGAGACATGGCATTGTTGCACACCTTGTCCAACCGAGAAAGTTTGTTCTCCCAGACTAGTGCATTCCGAGCCTTCCATGTTGTCCAACCCATCATAAAGAACAAAGCAAAGTCAGGTGGGGATAGGAGATCATGGTCGGTATTGACCCAATCCTTTGCCGATTCGTTGGAAGAAGTAGACCGTCATCTGACCAGTGGGGAGCAACTCAAAATAGCTTCAGCAAAGGGGCAATCACGCAAAATATGCACCGTCGATCCACGGGAGTCGCCACAGAAGGAACATGTGGTGTCAATCAGGATGCGTTTCATGGAAAGGCTCAGCCTTGAGGCAAGAATATTCGAACACACCTGCCACCAGAAAATGCTGACATTAGGCAGTACCTCAGCTTTCCAGAGAGCTTTCCAAAGAGAAGACGATGCCGCTGAGCCAGACACAGAGGTGGCTTGTGGAGAGGTGGCTATAGACTGGGCAACGTGGTAGGCACCCTTGATCGTAAATTCCCATTTCTTATCATAATGCCATATCAATTTGTTTGGGGGTCTACTGCCAGCTTAAGGGAATAGTCAGGATCAAATCCACTCCATTAAGGAAGAAGATGGTAGATAATCTGGCTACGTTCCACTTACAATGCGGCTTCATAACCAAATCAGCAACAACATAACAGTCACTATCAGGGGGTTGTGGCAAGTAAGGTTGAAAAGTAGAAGGACGAGGGATCCAACGATCCTCCCATATGCGAATAGAAGAACTACTGCCCATTTGCCATCGGGATCCTCTAGTAATAATTGGCCTAACTGCACAGACACTCTTCCAAAGATAAGAAGCATTGGGTGGTACATCAGGGTCTCAGAAAGAAGTTTGTAAAAATTACTTAGCCTTGAAGACTTGTCCAGGGAGTGAATCAGGGTTTGCAATAGTCTTCAGCCCTGTTTAGCTAGAAGGGCAAGATTGAAGGCATATAAATTCCTAAAACCAAGGCCTCCTTCATCTTTAGGAAAACAAAGCTTCTCCCAAGCAAGCCAATGTATTTTGTGTGCTTCAGGGGAGCTATTCCACCAAAAGGCCGCAATCATCTTATGGATATCATCACAGAAGACTTGGGTAATAAAAAAACAACTCATATTATATAAGGGAATGACCTAGGCGACCACTTTGATAAGAAGTTCCTTTCCAGCGTTGCTCAACAGTTTAATTACCCCGCCAACTGTGCAACTACTTACCAATCTGTTTCTTTAGAAAATTAAAACTTGCACTCTTGCGTCTGTCTATGGCCATGGGCAGCCCCAGAAATTTATCATAACAGTCAACACATTGGACCCCTAGAATGGCTGCCAAATTTTGTCACATCCCAGGATTGGCCCTGCCGTAGCATGATATTGTTTGTTTTAGGCCCCCCTCTCTACCCTCACGGTTTTGTTTCTGGGAACTCACGAGCAACTTCCTTGTGGGTCATCCATCCTGGGATTGTTGTAGCCCCAACTTGCTTAACTTCGGAGTTCCCATGACTCCAAAGCCAGTCAGCTCATGACTCCGAAGCCAGTGAGCTCCCAAAAGGCCTCGTGCTAGATGGAGGCGGGCATATATATATATATATATATAAGGCACATTACCCCTCTCTGTTGGTCGATGTGGGATGTTACAATCCACCCCCCTTAAGGGCCCAATGTCCTTGTCGGCATACTCGCATCACACGACAGAGTGGCTCTGATACCAAATTGTCACATCACAGGATCGGCTTCGCTGTAGCACGATATTGATTGTCCACTTTGGGCCCCCTTCTCTGCCCTCGCAGTTTTGTTTCTGGGAACTCACGAGCAACTTCCCAGTAGGTCACCTATCCTGAGATTGCTCTAGCCCCAACTCCCTTAACTTCGGAGTTCCCATGACTCCGAAGCCAATGAGCTCCCAAAAGGCCTCGTGCTATATAAGGCACATCACCCCCTCTTCGTTGGTTGATGTAGGATGTTACAAATTTTGCTTGTCTGGTAACCTCACATTCTTGCCAAAACAAAGTGTACTTTTTTGAAAATTGACCTATTATCCAGAGCCCCGTTCATAATGGTGGAGAATACCTAAAATAGTGTGACAATCCCCTAAGGTAGTACAAGCAAATAAAAAAGAATCATTCGCAAAAACCAAATGGCAAATTGAAGGTGCTCCACGACAGATTGAGATGCCTTTAAGAAGCCCTTCCCTACCCTTTTGTTGGATTAGAGCCAAAAACCCCTTTACACATAGAAATAAAAAAAATCAGGTGAGAGAGGATCACCCTAACGAAGACCCCTGGAAAAGTGAACATAGCCAACGGCTTCTCCATTGATCATGAAAGAGTAACTAACTGTTAAAACACACATTAACACAAGCTGGATCCACCTCTCATTGAAAAACAATTTGCGCATGATGGCCTCTAGGTAACCCCACTCAATATAATCATAAGCTTTGCTCATATCAAGCTTCAAGGCAAGAAAACTTTATTGCCACGCCATTGTTGTCTCAAATAATAGACAATCTATAGGCTAACATAGTATTATAGGAAATTAGACGTCCAGCCAGAAATGCACCTTGGGATGGAGAGATTAGATTCGGAAGAATGACCTTGAGCCTATTAGGTGACACTCTGGTAATGATTTTTGACAGGACCCGCCCCAGATTCCTGGGAACCCGTGACGAATTCCGTCGTATTTCTGGCATCATCCCGATGCTAGGCCCACTTACTAGAGACTGAGACTTTCTACCAAAATTTTGGCAGAGTCTCCCCTGTAAAATTGACTTTTTCCAAAAATTTCAACCTGCTAAAAACACAGTTTAAAATCCCAATAGGCAGCATGCTTCAGGAAATACTTAAATAGTTTACAACAAGGGCCTCCAGCCTCACAGATCAAACCCTAGCATGAGTTCAACAGACATAAAGAATAAAAGATTCATACGAAGGCTCGGGATTTGGAAGCACACGACCCAGCTCTGCTGCTCAGTTCAGTCGACTACCGGCTGGGGAGCGCAAAACAGAAAAGTGTGAGTGGAATAAACAAAGTTTAGTTCAATTGAAACCAAAGTAATATAACACCACCATTTAGAAAATGATGCAGAAAATCGGATGCACTCAAAACCGACATAATCATATATATATATATATATATAAAGTTTGATCAACACTAGAGCTAAATCTGAAATCCATAATGAAACTTTACAAATCAACCATCCAAACTTTGTCTTATAAATCCCAAACTAAACTCTTGAAATGCGTGCCC